TACCTGCCTGTAGGTGAGTGCACCCGTGTCTTGCAATGCCCATGGAGGACAGAAGAGGCTGTCAGATCCCCTGGAACTGGAGTTATAGACAGTTGATAGCTGCCATGTGGGTGCTGGGGTTTGAACCCAGGTCTTCTGCAAGAACAACCAGTGTTCTTAACCTCTGAGCCACCTCTCCAGCCCCTGTAATGGTTTTATAGATGAAGAGTTGAGGTCTGACATTCCCTTTCTCCTTCATTAATCTAATTGCCGTTCTTTTCCTCTGAGATATGCACAGCAGTCTTGTCACTGGTGATGTAGTGGCTACTTAAGTACACTGTTTGGAGCTAAATATTACCAAATGACCATTATTGAATGTGCTTTTCAGATCTGAAGATGTTTTAATGAGAAACAAGTAGAGTTTTCACGTGACCGAAGTGGTTTTAGACCCAAGGCAATCTCATCATCTTTTTAGGATTTTGAGTCTATCCAAAAGTTAATCTTAGCTTTCAAGAGCTTAATCTTTTCTCCCATTTGACCGACAGCTTGGTGATGTGATGGTGGACATAGCGAGCAACATCATGCTGGCTGACGAGCGCGTCCTCTGGCTGGCGCAGAGGGAAGCGAAGGCCTGCAGTCGGATTGTCCAGTGTTTGCAGCGCATTGCCACGCACAGGCTGGCCAGCGGCGCTCACGTGTACTCCACGGTAAGTGCCACCTTCTCGTGGGCCCCAAGACAGTGTTCCTTTGTGGCCGCTCTAACCCACAAGGGCCTGGTCTCTTTCCCATAGTGGAGCGGCTGTCTCCTGTTACTGTGATTGGCACAGAATGCCCTTTTCAGAAACATTGGAAAAGTTAATTTTGCTTCTGAGCCACGTTTTCTCAGTAACTAGAAAATGCTTTTTTTAAAAAAAGTTCTGTAATTTGAATTGCTGTCACCATCTAATTCATCGAAACTATTTCTGCAACAAAAATAAGGACGTGATTGTTTGGCCTGCTGGCACTTCACCCACTGTCCGTCCAAGCTAATATTCTGTTCAGAGCCTGAAGGATGTTTTGGGAGAATGCCGGATATTTGCCCAGGTTCAGTCTTAAAAGGACTAGGCTGCCCTCCAACACTTGCAAAACTATTGGCATGATGTAATAATCTGTCAAACAGTATTAAATTATGTTCATGCCAAATCGAACTCCTGATTTGTGTGTTGCTTACTTTTTGTTCTAAAAACATGTGATACGTACAGTAAATAATTTGTCATTCTGTTAGCAGGCATTCTCTAATGAGAGTCACAGCTTTTAGTTCTAAATATTGCAGTGAGATCTTGTAGTGGTGAGGGTTGTACACTTTCACCTACGAGTCTAGGCCATTCAAGATGGCCGTTTTCCATTGACTTCTGAGGCCTTTTTGATGATACTGTGCTTTAGGTTACCTTTTGTTCAATTAAGATTGGAATTGCTGTTGGGTCTTGTGGTCCACACCTCAAATTCCAGCACTGGAGGAGGTAGAGGCAGGGGGATCTTGAGAGTTTGAAGTTAGGCTGGTCTATGAAGCAAGCTCTGGCCAATCAGGGCTACATACTGAGACTCTGTCTTAAAAAAAAAAGTAGAGCCAGTAGCTACTGTCTGCAGAGCATACATAGTTTAAGGTAATTTCGCTCTTAGATACATGGACTGCCTGGAGACTAGCCAGTCATTTTATGGGCAACAGTTTCCACCCAGTTGAAGGAAATTCCTTCCATCTCTGAACCTCACTGGTCTTCCTGCCAGTGAGGAGTGTAGTAAAGGTTGTAATGAATATGTAAAGGTCATTTCAGCTTGCAACACAGGTTCCAAGAATTATGCATCTCCTTACACAGCTGTCTCCCTCATCCCTGAGGAAGATCCCATGGGTGCTTGAAGCCATGGGTAGTCTCAAGCTCTGTTTCCTGTTTTCTCTGATCTGTGCATACTGGTCAAGGTCGGCTTGTAAATCAGGCACAATAAGAAATTAACGGCCACATCTAATGATGAAGTAGAACAACTATAATGATATACTATTTATACTAATGATACTATTTACAGTTTATGAGTTATTTCTGGAAATTTCCGCTTAATGTTTTAAGACTGTTGGTTCACCATGGGTAGCTGAAATTGGGGAAAATGGACCAGAGATGAGGGTGTCATGCTAGTAAATAGAGATTCCCAGAGTAAGAAAAAATCTTCGGGAAGGACACTTTCTTCTTTCCATTTGAAGCTTCCTGTGTTGGTTTTGATTCATAACACTTATCAGAAGCTCTGCAGAGTTTACATGTCATGGACTAGCAGAGATCTGGAATGTACATTGTTAGTTTACATATGTAATTAATGCAAGTTTCACAGTCTGAAGCAAAAGTTAATGCAGACATAGTCATCCCTAACTGAAAGAGGAGACACCACATTGTCCTTAGGGTTACAGTGAACTGTGCTTGGGAGTTTGAAGGTGCAGCTTGCCCCGTCTCACTTCTTTTTTTCAAATATTTTATTGATTATTTTTATTTTATGTGTATGAGTGTATTGCCTGCACGTATGTGAGTGCACCCATGTCGTGCAATGCTGCAGAAGTCAGAAGAGGGCGTCGGATTCCCCTGGAACTGGAGTTAAGGATAATTCGTAGCGCCATGTGGGTGCTGGGAATTGAACCTGGGTCCTCTGCAAGAGCAGTCAGTGCTCTTAACCGCTGAGCCATCTCTCCAGCACCTTTCTCACCTCTTGTACCCTTCCTGGCATGGCTGATGTGTGGGAGGCAGGCTGGAGCTCCTCCTGCATCTTGGATCTGTATCTTGCTAGATCCCCTAAGTTCAGGTCTCTTTAATTTGTTAGCACAAAAACTTAGGGCAGGCAGGTACCATCTCTTCCAGGCACTTTTTCTGACCAAATTTGCTTCTTAAATCTGTTTGTTTCCTATGATTTGAATCCACCTCTGCCTTTTTTCTGAGGAAACAGCTTTGGTGTGAGCCGACAGTTTTTTTGTTTTTTTTTTTTGTGAATCTAGTACAGAATGTTGACTTTTCTCCCCGTGAAAGGAGACAGTGTGAATGGCGTGAGTGTGACGGTTCCCTATCCTCAGTGGTTCCCTCCATTTCTTCTGCAGAGTAGGCGTTGAAGGGGCCTCTGATTGTGACAGCTCTTTGTCTAAGTCAGAAGCTTCTGTTAGTTTGCAGCTCTTTGTGAGGTACTCCTCAAATTGTTTTTATTTATTTTTTCCGTGATATTGGGGTTCAGATAAATACTGCCTCTTACAGTGCCAGCCCTCAGATTATTAGTTATTAAACTTATTGTTGTTCAGTCTTTGAGAACGTCATGCATTGTGTTTTGATCATGTTCAGACCCCTCCCCCACTAGCCCCCACTTACCACTCCCTTTCTTGTCCGCTATTATTGTCTTCTTCATTTTTTTTTATATTTTATTTATTATTTTTATGAGTGTATTGCCTGCATGTAGGTAAGCGTACCCGTGTCATGCAATGCCCTCGGAAGACAGAAGAGGCCATCGGATTCCCTGGAACTGGAGTTACGGACAGTTGTTAGCTGCCATGTGGGTGCTGGGATTCGAACCCGGGTCTTCTGCAAGAACAACCGGTGTTCCTAACTGCTGAGCTATCTCTCCAGCCCCATGTCTTATTTTTAAGGCCTACTGAGTCCAATCTATGTTTCCCAGATGCTCTTTGGTATGAATCTATCCCTTGAACTCTGGCCAATTTCCAGGCTTCATACCAGTAAAGAAAACTGACTCTTGACCTCCCAGCATCTATTAATTGTCCACAGATCCGAAGCTAGGGCTGGTGCTTCTCGCCCACCTCCTCCCATCCATGCTAGTTTTTGTCTGGGATTGTGAGGTCTTGTGTGATTTGTACCCAGCTTCCCACTGTTTGTGCCTCTTTCTTTTTTTCTTCATTGTTCTTCTTTCCATCTTTAGGGCATTTAAAATTTTTTCCATTTCAAGATCTTTTTTGAGTGATCTTTAGTAAATATGTCTTATTAAACCTGAAGTTTTTGTTTGTCTTCTATGTATGGGGTGTGTGTGTTTGTGTGTGTGTGTGTTTTGGAAAATTGTTTTCCCCTTATATTCTAAATCTTTCATAAACTTCTGTTTGGTTGACTTTTGAAGTATTCGCCCAATATTGCTCTGGAAGCTTACGTCATCAAGGCTGCTGGCTTCACAGGAATGACCTGCACCGTCTTCCAGAAAGTGGCAGCTGCCGATCGCTCAGGACTTTCTGACTATGGGAGGCGAGACCCTGATGGAAACCTTGACAAACAACTGAGCTTCAAGTGCAATGTTTCAAACACGTTCTCAAGCCTGGCACTGAAAGTAAGCTGCACTCTCTGGTTATTAAAACTATTTGTGGTTAGATTTGAATATGCAAATCTTTGATTTTCCAGAGGCTTTACTAATATGTCTTTTTTTGCTGGGGGTGGGGGTTGGCAATAACTGATATTGAAGTATTATGCTGTTGTTTTTTAAGAAACTCAGACTATGGGGCTCGAGAGCCATCTCTCCAGCCCCCTAGTCTGAGTTTAGTTTCTAGCACCCACCTGGACTGAATTTAGTTTCCAGCACCCACTTGGCAGTTAACAGCTACCTATAACTACAGATCCAAGGGATTCCATAGCCTCTTCTGGCCCTTGCAAGCATCACGCACTCGTATTCTGCATGTTTGTGCGTAGAGGCAGAGCACTCATAGGAATAAAATAAAATAAATAATCAAGAAAGATACAGACAGGAAAGGGTACTAGAATGATGTCATGAGTTCTATGTATTTTTACTTTAAAATTCACTTTCTCCACCCAACAATTAAAAAATACACTTTAAAATCAATTGCCATAGTATAAAGCAAATGTCTTAATATTATATATTAAACTGCTGACTTTCATCTAAACTTTTTTTCTTCCTGATTTGAAGACATTAAAGCTTTTTCATGGAGCCCTACAATTATTGTGGGCTCTTGGCACTGTGCCTGTACTGTCTGTCGGTGAAGTGAGCTCTGAGACTGGGCATTTAATCAGGCAAGATGTGTATTAAGATTTTTAGGAGACAGCCTGAGGGGGTGGGTTTGGACCTCTCCATAGGGGTAGTGCTCGGGGCTCAGCAGACCACCAGAGAGTGCCCGGTTCTGGCCTGACTCTACCAGAGGGCCTGAGAACCCAGGGGACAGTCTGACTGCCCCCAGATCCTGCCTCCACGGGGTGATGAGCTTCCTCTAATTGCGACATACCATCCTCCTATGTGGGATTTTGTGAGGCCCCTCCCAAGGCTCCAGGGCAGATCTGGCTTTGGTAAGCTAAGGCTGGGATCTCAGCAGACTTCCAGAGAGTGGCCTGCTTCTGGCATAGGGTTGACAGTGCACAGGACTGCCTGAGAGAGCCTGGATCCTGCCTCCATGTGGTGAAGGAAGCCTGAGTGTACCTGACTGGAACCTGAGTTGGGCTTCTGTGGGTACCCCTGAATAGCTGATCAGAAGCTATCAGTTCCCTCTAAAATAAACCTGAAAGAACCTGAACCCTGTACCATCCAGCTTTACATAACCAATAAAGAAAGGATCTAGACAGAAGCATACTTCAACTTAATTCTCTTATCAGAATCATAAACAACAAAAGATTCACATGCCAATCCCACAATGAAAGAATAATAAAATGGAAAGCCAAAACAGTATATCCCCACCAAACCCACCAATCCTGTAGAAGAGTTCTACAAGGAGAACCCCCTAGAAATAACCCAGGACACTGAATTTAAAAGAACAATCATAAACATGATCAAGTAATTCAACGAATTTAAAGAACACACAAACAAATCAAAGAGCTAAAAGAAGACAGGTATAAACTTCTGAATGAATTTACAGATAGAAACATTGAAGAAAACTCAGGCAAAACTCAGTAAGTCAACTTGAAAGAAAAGGGGAAAGCCTCACCTCTAGAATGAATGAAATGGAAAACAGAACATCAACACTGGAGGATAAAGTTGAAGAATTGGACCACTCAAGCAAAGAGTATGGAAAATTAAAAAAAAAAAACACAGGAATGGAATATGCAAGAGAAGTGGGACACCATGAAAAGACCAAATCTATGGATCATAGGAATAGAGGAAGGAGAAGAATTTCATGTTAATAGTGTTGACCAAATCTTAAACAGGATTGTAGAAGAGAATTTCACAAAATTAAGGAAAGACATCCCCTTACAAATACAGGAAGCACATAGAGAAATAGACAGGACCAGAAAAGAAGCTCACCAAGGCACATCAGAGTAAAAACATTAAATGTACAGAACAAAGAGAGAACACTGAAAGCAGCAAAAGAAAAACAAGTCACATACAAAGGAAAGCCCATCAGAGTTACAGCCGACTTATCAATGCAAACTATGAAAGCCAGAAGAGCCTGGACCAAGGTATTTCCAGTTCTACATGACAACAGACGCCAGCCCAGAATACTTTACCCAGTAGAAATGTCTATTATAGTTGAAGGAGGAAAAAAAAATCTTCCATGACATGAATAGCCTGAAAGAATACATGTCCGCAAAACCAGCCCTCCAAAGAATACTTGAAGCAACACAGAGCAGAGAGAGAAACAACTATACCCTAGGGGCAACAAAAGAAAATAAAAAAAAGATATAATCTATGAAACAAAATTACACAGAGAACACAAACAGCAATCAAAATGATGGCAACCAATACACACCTTTCAATAATAACCTTAAATATCAATGGACTGAACTCCCCAGTCAAACGACACAGGATAAGTGCATGGATTAAGAAATAAAATCCATCTCTTTGCTGTCTGCAAGAAACCCATCTCACCTTCAAGGACAGGCACTACCTTAAGTTAAAGGATGGAAAAGAATATTCTAAGCAAATGGCACTAAGAAACAAGCAAGGGTTACAATTCTAATATCTGACAAAATAGACTTCAAAGTAAGATAAGGAGGGTCACTTCATTCTGATCAAAGGAACAGTTAACCAAGAAGATATTACAATCCTTAACATATATGGAGTGACTCAAGATGTTATGGAGAGAAAACGAAGGTATAACTACAGAAACACAAAATAGGACCAAATACACCAGTTAAAATGACAGTAACCAATACACATCTTTCAATAATAACCTTAAATATCAATGGACTGAACTCCCCAGTCAAAAGACAAAGGAAAAGTAAATGGATTAAGAAACAAAATCCATCTCTTTGCTGTTGCAAGAAACCCATCTCACCTTCAACGACAGGCACTACCTTAAGGTAAAAGGATGGAAAAGAATATTCCAAGTAAATGGCACTAAGAAACAAGCAGGGGTTGCAATACTGACAAAATACAAAATAGACTTCAAAGTAAAACTAATCAGAAGAGATAAGGAGGGACACTTCATTCTGATCAAAGGAACAGTCGACCAAGAAGATATTACAATTCTTACCATATATGCACCAAATTCTGGTGCATGCAAATTCATCAAAACAACACTACAGGATTTTAAGACACAGATTAACCCCAACTCAGTAATAGTAGGGAACTTCAATACCCCACTGTCTTCATTAGACAGGTCAACTGGACAAAGAATAACAGAGAGATGTCTGAATTATATGATCCCTTACATCAAATGGACCTAACAGACATCTTTTGATTATTCCACCCAAACACCAAGGAATACACTTTCTACTCAGCACCTCATGGAATTTTTTTCAAAAATTGACTACATACTGGGCCACAAAACATACCTCAACAAATACAAAAATATTGAAATAATTCCATGCATTCTATCGGACCACAAAGCAGTAAAGCCCCAAATCAACACTGGATGATGCCCTAGTCACCACACAAGCTCGTATCCATTGAACAACACACTCCTAAACAATGAGTGGGTCAGAGGAGAAATTAAGAAAGAAATAAAAGAACTCTTGGAATTCAATGAAAAGAACAATACAACACAACACAACCTGTGGGACACATTAAAAGTAGTCCTAAGAGGGAAGTTTATAGCTCTAAGTGCCTACATTAAAAAATTGGAAACAGCCCAAATAAATGACCTAACACTGCAACTCAAGTCATTGGAAAGACAAGAACAAATGAAACCCAAACCCAGCAGAAGAGAAGAAATAACAAAAATCAGAGCAGAAATTAATGAAATAGAAACAAAGAAAACAATACAAAGAATCTAACAGCTGGTTCTTTGAACAGCTAAACAAGATAGCCAGACCCTTAGCCCAGTTAAGCAAAAGAAAGAAAGAGCAAATCCACATCAATAAAATCAGATACGAAAGCAGAAACATCATAACAGACATCCAAAAGATCCAGACCATTATAAGGGAATATTTTAAAAACCTATATGCTACTAAATCTGAAAATCTACAAGAAATGGATGGATATCTGAAATCATGGGAACCACCAAAGTTAAACCAAGAAGAGATCAACACTTTAAACAAACCCATAACATATAAGGAAATTAGTAATACAAACCCTCCTGATTTAAAAAAGCCCAGGGCCAGATCAATTTACAGCAGCATTCTATCAGACATTTAAAGATCTATATCCAGTACTATGTAATTTATTTAAAAAGATAGAAACAGAGGGAGAACTTCCAAATTCCTTCTGTGAAGCCAGCTTCACTCTAATACCCAAACCAAGTAAAGACACAACCAAAAAAGAAAACTGTAGACCCATATCCTTAATGAACATAGATGCAAAAATCCTCAACAGAGTACTTGCAAGCCACATACAGACACACATCAAAAAGCATTCACCATGATCAAGTAGGCTTTATCCCAGATATGCAGGGATGGTTTAATATATGCAAGTCAGTAAACATCAATAATCATCAATAAATGGACTCAAAGGCATAAACCACATTGTCATCTCAGTAGATGCAGAAAAGGCTTTTGACAAAATTCAGCGTGTATTTATGTTCAAGGTACTGGAGGGAACATACCTCAACATAATCCTTAACATAATTAAAGCTATATACAACAAACCCACAGCCGACATCATTCTAAATGGAGAAAGACTGGAAGCATTCCCATTAAAATCAAGAACCAGACAAGGATGTCCACTATCTCCACTCTTTTTCAACACAGTGCTTGAAATTCTTGCTAAAGCAATAAGACAGGAAAAGAAATTTAAAGGAGTACTAATTGGAAAAGAAGAGATCAAACTTTCAATTTTTGCAGATGATATGATACTATACCTAAGAGATCCCAAAAGGTCCACCAGAAAATTCCCAGAACCGATCAACACTTTCATTATAGTGGCAGGTTATAAAATCAATCTACAAAAGTCAGTAACCTTTCTATATACCAATAATAAGCAATTGGATAAAGAATACAGGGAAATGTTCC